GTATCTACAAAAGAAGAAAGTATATTTCTTCTTACATGGGAAGCCAGGCCCTTAGGAGGCGGCTTGTCACCCTGGAATCAAAGTGCTGACGGCCTGGTGCAATCTATCTTCGACACCTGAGCGAGCCTGAGTTACACTCTTCCGCAGACCGCAAGGAAGTGGGAGCCTTTTTCCTCCCTTTCATAACAGAACAAGTTTCCAAGTGACTCCATCTTTCACGTATGTTTACTTTAACAGAGTGATAGTCACATCTTACTCTGTCCACAGAGTCAGGTTTATATTCCTGATGGTTCTGAAAAGTTCTGCTTTGATACACTGCAGTTTGTTATTAAGTCTCAGAAGAAAAGAGTAACTTAACTCTTCAAGTTCCATCTCCTCCAGGTACACATGCACACACATTGTACCACTTACCAATAAAACAAAGATTATCTTAAGCACAAACCTACTACCCTCAATTACAGGAGGCTAAAATAAAAACTGAAATTTATAGGACACAAAACATGCTATGATCTAGTGAACTTTATTTATTTATTTATTTTTTTAAATTTTTTTTTTTCAACGTTTATTTATTTTTGGGACAGAGAGAGACAGAGCATGAACGGGGGAGGAGCAGAGAGAGAGGGAGACACAGAATCGGAAACAGGCTCCAGGCTCTGAGCCATCAGCCCAGAGCCCGACGTGGGGCTCGAACTCACGGACCACGAGATCGTGACCTGGCTGAAGTCGGACACTTAACCGACTGCGCCACCCAGGCGCCCCTCTAGTGAACTTTAAAGACCAATAAAATCAAGTCTAAGAATTTGCCAACAGTATTTATCTCATTTTTTGGTTTTGGTTCTAAAACACTTTAGAAGATGAGGATAAAGGAAATGAAGAGACTCTGCTGGGGCGCCTGAGTAGCTCAGTTGGTTAGGCAGCCGACTCGATTTCGGCTCAGGTCATGATCTCACGGTTCCTGAGTTCGAGCCCAACATCAGGCTCCGCTCTCACAGCGCGGACCTGCTTTGGATCCTCTGTCTCCCTTTTTCTGCCCCTACCACGCTTACACTTTCTCTCTCTCAAAAATAAACATTAAAAAATTTTTAAAAAGAGAGAGACTCTACTATGGTCATAAAATCTGTATTGGGTTCACAGACTACATAATGAATTACTAGTTCCATAAACTAAACAATGAAGCACACAAATAAAGGGAAAGTATATGAAATAGGCAGTGATGAGGGACAGAAGCAGAAAAACATTCACCTTTAGCCCAGAAGACGGACCTATAGACTAGATAGTTCTGATAAGGATCAAATGCTTACTGGCTGCTACATTCTTAAAGGGTCTCATGACTGCCTGTACATCTCACCAATAGTTAATATCAAGCTGAATTATAAGCACCAGAGAAATCTTGCAAAAGTGGTTTTACAAGTAGAAATTCAAGGAAAACATTTATGATCTAATACTTCCTGCATGTTCCCTCCCCCCTGAAGACTAAGCATAGAACTACATAGAATCGGCTTCATACAGAAGTGCAGCTCTTTCTGCCCACAGGTCCTGTCCCTGTGCTACTTAAACAAATGTACTAAGGTGCACTGTAAAACGTCTCAAGAATTCTTTGTTAACCGGCACAGAATGCTCAATAATCCCGCAACAGGCAGTCCTTGACTTAAGGGCAATCTATGTAGATTAATGCTGATTGTGGCATTATGAATTTTTTTTTCCATCCTGCCAAAACACCACCTGCAATACATAACCACTCACATCATTCTGAATCATTCTCTGCCAGACTGCCTTGAGCCTCCTACCTGAACCTCTGCTGAGACAGCTGCTTAAACCAAGAGCTCCCACCTAGCCAATTTTCTTCTTCAGTTACCAGGACTTAGGTATTTGGATATAGTATTACAGATTAAAGGGAAAAAAAAATTAAGAGAATCATTGTGAACTAGTCTGGAAACCAAACCAACATTTCGAATACCATCTCTGGGAGTATAAATCTGGAACTCCAAAACACCAGCTTATATTCAAATCTCAAATCTCTGAAAGTCATCCTAGAGTTTGACTATAAATATATCCAGCCTGAAAAACAAGCCCAACTAATCTCCTCGCTGTGCATATCTATAGACAGTTAAATTAACATACATTTAACAAATAAATTTCAAAATTTCAGTGTCACTACTCTAGGAAAGGCTGTAAAAGATACACATTAATAAGCACTATGCTGCATAAAACTCTCACTTGAGTATCAATGCAATTTGCAGGCCCCATCTCTCTGATGCCAGAATCAGTTGTTTAGGAATTCAAATATGAAGTGTTAAGAAGCCCAGGTGAGTAAAAGGACCGATTCCCTTTCACTGATTCTCGGACTCATCCTGCTCTAACCTTCATAGTAATCCTAAATGCCTAGTTTAGGTGTTAAAGAGGCCAAGTTTCACAGAGTCATCACCTGTGATAGATGAGCTTCAGGAGGCTGAAGGGTAACAAAACATGCTACGATAAAAGAAGCCTCTCTGGCGTAAGGATTAAGATGACTAAAAAACGACAGACACAGGAGAGACCCTAAACATAGTAAAAGTTATCTTTTTGTAAGGGAAATTTAAATTTATAAAGGAAATCTCCATTTGTAAGGGTGTCTCCCTTTTACACCAGGAAGAAAAGGTTGACTCCAAATCATAAGGGAATATTACAAGAGAATCTTATCAATGGAGAAGGCACAGGACTTAAATATGCATAACAAACTACTAGTTTACCAGGATTTTCCTGGAAACCTTCCGTAACTAGGAAGGAACCCTTCCTAACCCTAACCTTCCATAACTGAAGAGGGTGTTTAAACCCACATTCTAAACCAGGCTCATTTCTCCCAGGGTATCTCCCATACATACCAAGACTTAAGCATGTTACATTTTTGTTTGTTTTTCTCTTGTCTTTTACTAGAGGTCTCAGCCAAGAGCTCAGACGGGTAGAAGGATTATTTTTTCCTTACCTACAGGGCTCTGCCCTCAAAACTGTAGCGGAAGAATTCCCACAGACTGTGATGGGGAGGCATATTATCAATCACTCATCACTCTCTAACCTAAATCAAAACTCCACCTTCTTTCACCACAGCTGGCCACTGTCCAATTTTAAAACTTCAAGAGCTATGTATAATTTTTAGAAGAAGCTGTTTTTGCTTTTTGTTTTGAATGTTTATTGACAGTTAATATGTATTTAACAATTTAAAACGTTTCAGATCCACCTACTGTGAAGCAGGCAGCGATTCTTAAAAGTATTTGCAACTTTATTTGCTTTTCACATTAAGTTACTGACTTCCGAACTGGAATACTGTCAAATATTTGAAACCTAAATCCTTGGTTTACAGTGTTCAACAATAAAAATTTAACTGAGTAAATTTTAAAGATCTAATTGGCTTTATTAATCAATTCATGAATTAGGCAGTATCCTCTCTAGCAAGTAGACAGGAGCTCCAAAGGGCTGCAGGAAAGGATTCTAAGAGGTAAAAAGAGAGGGGAAAAAAAGAAAATTATTAGAAAAGAACCCATTGCCTAGGGGAACTGAAGGAGTGTATCAAATTTCCTAGTGCTGATCAGGAAATTCTCATGGTGACTGGTTAAAGGTTACATTTCTGGGGGGCTGAAACTGCAGTTAGATTAGGTATTAAGTCTTGGTTTATTGACTTGGTGCTTTAACCTAAGTGACACCATTATGGGCCTGTGGGTTCCTTTTTAACAACAGTGTGCCCAAGCAGAAGGTTACATCTTGGTTCTTGAAGACATCTTTAAGACACCAAATACATGATCTAGTAAAAAACTTTAATGACTTGAGCATAGTTAAATCGGGAAATTAAAAACTGCCAAATATCAACATTCATAGACCATACTGTACATACGTTACACAAAAAGTCAATGTACAGGATACTGAGGTTGTGTGCAAATACAAAGGAAATACATTTGTGCTTTCAAAATTGAAGGACAGACTCTTGACATTCAAGGGTATTTATTTCTAAGACACTGGTAATAAACATCATAATTTTGGAGGCTAATGATAAGATAATGGAGTACAAACGAGAAACAAGCCCAATCATGTCACCTCAAATTCTGAACCTGAATGAGAATTCTTTTTATTTTTTACGTAACTGAATTTCAACTATATTATGCAAAGTAGCCCATTCAATTTCACAATGCAGAAAGGTCTAAATATAATCAACAGGTACATTTACTATTCAAAGGAATTGCTACAATCTCCTTTTACTTATTCATTGGAAAATAAATGGGAAAAAGAGTTCTATTGTCACTACAATAATAGTGTGGCTGAAGCCCTACCTTATTAGAGAGAGATTCCTAAATCAGTCTGCAAAAAAGCTAGTCAGGGTAACATGTTCATTTCAATTTTAAAGTCTACCCTCCAACCCCCAACATTTTATAGTCTGACAAGAAACCTCAGATTCTTAACTAAGTGCTGCTGCATTGATTAACCTGTGGCTGATGCTGGGCTGTAGTGACCCACTTCTGTTTTATTCACTGCTGTATCCCAAGTTCCTAACACCACACCTCATACTCCCAAAGGTGCTCAAAAGACATTTGTTGAATGAAGTCAACCTTTCACAGTTCACTGGTATTCTTCCGACTCACTCTATTTCAGACCAAAATTACATTTGAAAAATTCCTGAAAATTTCCTGCAGGCATTTGAAGTTTGTCTACTTAGGAAATTTTTTAAAAAGCTCTCACTCGTCCTTTATTTCATTCCATTTACTTAAAATTAGGAATGAACCGTGTGATCATTTTTTAAGCCTATTTCAAAATGTACCAAGGTTACACTGAAAAATCTTTCCCAGGATTTTGAAGGTCTTGGGATTGTGGTCAGGAAAGAGCAGTAAAGCCAGAGCACCAGACCTATAACTGAAACACCAGTTAGCTCCAGGGCTCATAGACGGTCATTCCTTCGCCTTTTATATTTTATCTGAAACATAAAAATCATAAAATCTAAGGTCATTCTAAAAAGCATTTCAAAGCACTGGACTTACCATTATAGGTTATTCTTGGCTTTGTTAAACACATCACAAGATGCAAATCCATTTCATCTGAAGGTACAAATTTTGAGCATACAGGGCACTTAAATCCTAAAAAGTAAAAGAAACCCATTTTACTTAATTATTCTGAATGTCCAATTCTGTTTTTTAATAAAGTACAGAAGACTAAAAGCATTTCAAATTTCAGTATTACACGTACAGTAATATACTACTTAACCGCAAGTTCGTTTGGGAAAAGGGTTTGTAACTATAATATCTGACTTAAGTCACTTTACAAAGACCATCCCATATCAAATAAAACAAGTACAAATGAGAAGAAGCAGGCTCACTACAAAACTCCCAAATCTTTTTCTAATGTATGGGTCCAATCATTTTTGTTTCTAATTTTTTCCTTTAACCTGGACTTATCATTTCGTGGAAATTACCTTTCCCAGCTTGGTAGAGCACAGTTTGAATCCCAAGGTTTTATTGCTAGACGGTACTTTAGAAACTATTCTACCGCACTGATCTTTTAAAAATTATTCTGATGAAGAAAGTCAAAAATCAGCAAAATCAGGTCTAGAACCTAAGACGCCCGTCTTCCAGTACCGTGATCTGTCACACTATGCTACTCAAGTCACAATGCAAACAGAAAAAAGCACCAAACAGGGCAGATTTCCCAGTCAATTTCGACACTTAAATATTAGCTTGTTTCCTACCATATTCAATCTATACTACTAAGTATTTGCTTAAAGCGGTCTATTAAAAATGAACTGGTATACCGAAGAGAGAGTATGTTATGTATTCAGTTCTATCCTGCTCCCTGACTTCCCAGGGGACTGTCCCATCTCTGGTTCCTTGCTGTCCCCTGCTGCCCTACAGCTCCCTCAACACCCCTACACTGCTTGAGCAGCACTGGACACCTGACTGCAGACAGCCAATTAATACTTCCGGGCTAAGAACTACAAAACAGAAGTGGCACAAAAAGATGGTCTGGGCCAATCTGTTTTTCTTGGAAATATGACAAGAAATGGCAAGAGAGTACACACTGGTCAGGTGTAAAGAGCTGAAGCAGAAAGGTCACATGTAGGTAAGAGAGAGCCCAGTGGCTCATGTGTAAGCTGAGCTTACAAGAGAATAGCAACTATCAGCCAGCGAAGGACAACGGTTTGCATGGAGATCCCAGAGCAGACGTGTAGAGAGGAGCAGAAGCACAGTGAGAGACCAAAGCTAATAAGAAGGGGAGTGACAGACACCAGTCCCTAAGGTAAGGCTGCCTCAGACTCTGACAGCTCTGTACTTCTGGCACTCTCCTCCCTTCATCGCGACTCAAAACTTACTGTGACCAAACGTGTCAGACTAGACTCATACCTCATGCACAATTTTGTACAAATTAGGAAAAGGTTTTGGCGTGGGTACTTAATCCAGGTATTCAACTTCCTAAATGAAATAAATGCTACTGAACACCATTTTTCACATTGTATTCAATGTATTTTCAAAGAACATACGTTTTTTTCTTTTAGTAAAATGCACTTAATACAATGTGAAAAAAATGTGTGTAAATGTATGTTTACTGCCCCTTCTTGAAAACCACCAAAATGAAAAAGAAAGAGGAAAGATATCCGTCTAAAATGAAACTGCAGGAGCACCTTGATGGCTCAGTCGTTTAAGCATCTGGCTCTTGATTTCGGTTCAGATCATGATTTCACAGTCAAGAGATCAAGCTCCACATCAGGGGTGGAGTCCGCTTAAGATTCTCTTTCCCTCTGGCCCTCCCCCGCTCCCACTAATAAGTAAATAAGAAACTGCAAAATAGCTATAACCCCCAAATACAGAATATACCAATACAAGGAAACTTAGATCAAATGGGGAGAAGACAGAGACTCTCAAGTAGCATTCATATTTCCAGGACCAACTATCTATCTTTCACTTGGAACTGTAAAAACTTTCTTCCCTTGAGGTTTTCAACAGGACATACAAGAGGGCAAGAGGCCAGTTTTTTTAACTACTGATCAGAATCACCTGAGTATAGGCACATAAACTCTAAATTATCAAAGTACAATACTGTGAACTACTGAGAGCCATCCAACTGCCACAAAGTAGAGCTCAAGGAGAAAACTCTATGTACAAAGAACCACCTGGATTTCTAATTAAATACTATAAATTCATGTGTTTCTTTCTCTTCCCCTCTAAAATCTACTGAAATAGATTTCAGCAGAATCTATAAGAGAATGAGAATAAAATAAGATAAAGACCTTGAAAGGAGACAGCCAATGAGAAAAGACACCCTAAGTGTCTGCAGAAGTCAATTCTCACTATCTAGTTCTCAAAAGACTGCAAAATCGATACCTCCAAATGACTTCCCAAGACAATGGGGAGGCATGAGGATAAAATCTAGACTGGTTCAAAGACTAGGGAAAAAAAAAAAAAAAATTCCCTAGGTCTCCAAACCATGACATACAGCAGCTGTAAGAAACTACAATTCCCCAACTACAGCAGGACAAAGAAGGCTAACTTCTAGAATAAAAAACCCAAAGTAGAATGACTTGAGCAATGGGAAGGAAAGAAAACAGAGGAATAAAGACCTATGTACCGAAAAGGGCCCCTCTGCAATTTCCTTTACTCCATCTTTACCAAGAACTTGGTAGATTCTTCCTTTTTAAAAAAAATTTTTTTTAATAAAAATTTTTTAACATTTTATTTATTTTTGAGGCAGAGAGACAGAGAGCGAGTGGGGGAGGGACAGAGACAGGGAGACACAGAATGTAAAGCAGGCTCCAGGCTCTGAGCTGTCAGCACAGAGTCTGACACACACCCGAACTCACAAACTGTGAGATTGCGACCTGAGCCGAAGTCAGACGCCTGACCTACTGAGCCACCCGGCTGCCTGCCCTGGTAGATTCTTCTCTTAAATCAAAAGGTCCCACAGGATGAAACATCAAGACCCTTGTCTGTTGATAAGCCCTAGCCTTATACATAAAGCTTCTAATCAGCTTTTCAGGGCCTCTCTCAAACATAATTCAATGAAAGAAAATATTTAGCATGACTGAAAAACAATACGCAGAAGCAAATTCAAAAGACAAAAATATTTACAACATGTATCATTAAAAAAAATACCCTTAATATATAAAGAACTCTTAAAATTTGTGGAAAACTAAGTATCAGAAAACTGGGCAAAAGTTTTAAACCAGTATTTCACCAAAAAAGCTATTTTCAACTGACCTTTCTTTAAACAAATGAAAAACTGGGGCACCTGGGTGGCTCAGTTGATTAAGCCTCCGACTTCAGCTCAGGTCATTGATCTCAAGGTTCGTGGGTTCAAGTCCTGCATGGGGCTCTGTGTGCTGACAGCTCAGATCTGGGAGCCTGCTTTGGATTCTGTGTCTCCCTCTTGCTCTGCCCCACCCCTGCTCTCACTGTCTCTCTCTCTTTCTCTCTCTCAAAAATAAACATTAAAAAAATTTTTTTTGAATAAATGAAAAACTGCACAGTGTCAGAATAAAAGAAATATCCCCTCCTTTCTTAAGTTTATTTATTTTGAGAGAGAGTGAGTGAGCACAGGCAAAGGAGGGGCAGAGAGAGAGGGTAAGAGAGAGAGAATCCCAAGCAGGCTCTGCATTCTCAGCACAGAGCCCAAACCCACACATCAGAGACCATGACCTGAGCCAAAACCAAGAGTGGATGCTTAACTGACTGAGCCACCCAGGCACCCCAAGAAGCACTTTTCTCTTAAGTTCTTTTTCTTTATTCTCATTTTAGTGGGCTTTAGGAAGGAAAAGTAACACTTGTGTTCAATTCACTTTATTTAACTAAAAATCCAGGTCAGTTCTTTGTATATAACTGTTCTCCCTCCTTAGGCTTTACTTTATCTCTACATTTAAGATATCACTGCTTACCCGAAATTGGCAAAAACTCAAAAGCTTGACAACACACTGTTGGTGAGGCTGTGTGGAAACAAGCACTTTCATACATTGCTAGTAGGAGTGCAAATTTATACAACCTCTGCAGACAGCAATGTGGCAATATGTAAATCAACTACATATGTATTTATCTTCTGGTCCAGCAATCCCATTTCTAGGATCTTACCCTGAAGGTATGTCCCCAAAATACAAAAAAAATAAGTGCACACACAGAGGATTCTGGGAAGACAGCCGAGTAGGAAGCACTGGCAGAATCGGCCTCCCCACCTAAATGCTTGCATCTGTCTGAGGGAACTATTTTGGAACTCTGGAGACTACTGAAAGCTTGCAACTTCCAGGGGAAAAACCTGGACAGTACATTGTGGTTATTTTCAGCTCTTAGCACAGTAGCAGCCACCCTTCCCAGCCCAGCCCAGCCCAGCCCAGCTACATGGCAGGCAGCAGTGCACTTGTTCTTGGGAGCAGCTTACACACACCCTGCAGGAACTCAGCGTGGACATAAAGGACTCTATCCTCCAAAAACTGGAACTCTGCACTCTGATTGCTGCTTCTGATTCAGGAGATACAGGAGATACAGACAAAGAGAAGGATACAAAGTATCATTGTTTTGGACCTTCCCCATTTTAAGCCCCTCCCATTCTGGCTCAAGAAACTGTAAGGGGATTTAAAGGACCTACACCCCTTTCTCCCCCTTTATTTTTCTCTTTTTTGGAGCCAGACATTAAATATTAGGACATTCAAAAACAACTATATACACAGGGGAAATTAGAAAGGGACTGTACATGCCCAGGGCAGGTCTCAGAGAAGACCTTAAATTTATATCTCAGGCTGATGATCCTCAGAGACAGGCTATAACACTCCCCCAAAAAACAATAATACAAAATAGCAGACACTGGGAAGAGGGGGAAAATCTGATTTCCAGAGTTACCACATTATTAGATTCAAATATCCAGTTTTCAACAACAAAAAAACCACAAAGCATACCAAAAACAAGAAAACAGAAAAGCATGGCTCCTTTAAAGGAAAAAAAAAAATAAAACAAATTGTCCCTGAAAAAGATCTGATGACAGATTTACTAGGCCTATATCTTAAAGATGCTCAAAGAACTAAAGGAAGATGTAAAGAAGGTCAAGAAAATATGATCAAAATATGAATAAAATGTTAATATCAATATGTAGAAAACCTAAATAGAAACTACAAAGAAATTCTGGAGCTGA